TCTACTTGTCCTGGGCCCGGACTACCCAAGGGCACTTCTTTTGAGCACCACTACTAAGGAATGTTTGACCTGATACATTTTATAGTAATTAGGCAGGTAGTAGCAGTAACTGTAATAGCTGTATAGTTCACTTTGGAAAAAATTGCTGGTCTAAGTTGAAAAACTACCAGCACAAGCATTTGGGGTATGTTAAGAGAAACGTGAAAGTCAAGATTACGCAACTCACAGGGCAATACAAGATATTTTTTGCAAATGTGGGGGTAAAGAGGGAGCAAAATTATCCTGACACTTGGTTTGAAGTCCTTTTACAAAATTACGAGCAACACAAACATATAACAGAGAGAAATCTAATTGTAATTACCTCTTGGAAAGTCTCTAAGAAAATTCCCTGACTGTTTATCACTTAAAATAAAAAAGCGACACCTTATGATGTATCACACTGGAGCTATAAAAAATGGCGTCTAGTAGTTCTTTATTATTTCTTTTAGCATAAGAAAAGGTAGAAACTCTTTGAGGTCAATGTGTTGTGTGTTTGGTAGTTCGTTTTGTCACCATCTTCATTTTCTCGATTAAATTTTAGGTTTGTCAAACCTTTATTAAGCGGTCAGTTGGACATTCTGGTCCCCAAGGCCAAGGGTGAACGCTTAACACAAGTTTGACCGTATAAATAAATATCGGTTTACATGTATGCAAAAAATTTATTCTCGCAATCAATCCGCAACTAATAAGATAATGTAATTAAATAAGCTTTCCCAGCTTACCTTAGGAGACTTCTCTCTCTGTTGGACTGGCGAGGGAAACTCAAATCTGAAGGACCGATCGCTAATTGTTAACACATCAAGATGCTTAATCTCAGCGTCAGTGATGGCTTTTCCGTTGACAAGAGTTTGGTTACAGGAACTGAGATTGATTAATTTAATCTAAAAGGAAGAAAAAAAAATTGTAGTGTAAAAATAGGCACAATGCAATGCGTGAGTTCGGTGGATGAAAGAACCCATACATAAGCTCAATATAACATTGCGTACTGTAGTTTGAAGGCTACTATTGTGAAATGTACCGTACATGCAGCGTTAATTGCTTCTTTACTCTGCCGGCATTCGCTGAGCAAAATTTTGAGTACCAACTGCTACATGGATTGTTATGGTTCAATGTAAAACATATGTTGAAGCTTACCTTTCTGTCGCTGTCAACCTTTACTAGAGCGTGTTCAAGCGACACGTTTGGTAGTTGAATTCTAATATCACACTCGGGTTTCCTGTGCAGCAAAAAGGAAATGAACGTCAAATCTTAATACTGTACGTTAAACAACACAAAAGTATGGAGCAAAATATTAAATCAGGGTGCCTGTTCTAAAGAACAGCGATGATACTCTTCATCAATTCAAAATAATTAGCTTTTCTTCGAACAAGTTTCTCTCACCTTCCGAATAAACATTCGTTAGTTCGCAAAGGAAATTGGGGCCCATCTGTTCCATTCCTTTTTATAACGACAATTTTTGGATCTTTCATTGTCACAAGTCAATGCCAACACATTGAAGGTGACAAATACCGCACAAGGAATCTTCGATAAAATAGACGCAGCTAAGAAAGAAAAAATATCACCCGCCCGCACGAATGTTAACGAACAAATGAATTCCAACGGACTTTCAAATGAATTTGATTTTTGCGCCTTTATTGTTGATTGGACAATATAATCACGTGACGATGAAAACCAATCAAAATCCCCATTCCCCTTTCAAAATCATCCCTTCTCGTGCCAGATTCCGTCGGTCACGTTTTGCATAGACCGCAATCAGTCTCTCTGTTGCTTGAAAATCTATGAGCGAGTGATTATGGCGTATGATCCCCGCCAAAATTCATGGTTTGAATTTTAAATTCATCATTCAAATTTCTAACCTCGGTACTTGAGTTTTACATCTCACAGGCTTCGCTTCTCATTTCCAGTTCCGGTAGTTCAGCGTCTCTCGCTCGCTTTTTGTTGCAGAAAACGTAAAAAAAAATTGAGCTCGACTTGTAGGGAGGTCTAAGCTGAATTCAAAATTTCACACTCTTCCTTTAGATTTCGCATTATCGGAAAACGTTTTTAAGCTCGTTGTTTCGCTGTTGAGGCTCAACTCTTCTATTTGACCTTGCTCGCTGTGTGTTTTCAACTCGCATGAAACAGGCCTGTAACGAAGTTGAAAGTGAGAGGGCACGACTGTTGTGGGCCGAGACCCCTTCCCCGCCTCCGCCAAATCTTGAAAGTCTAAACAGTCAAATCCCGTGACCCATATCCAATTTCGCCCAACAATCACACTGTCTGATCAAATAGACAGATCATGAGAATGAATAAAATGATCACCAAAGATGAAATGTTGTGATGTTGCAACAAATTTACTCAAGCAGTATCATAAGGAATGGATGACGAACAGTGTGGAGAAGATGCATGTTGATGTACGTGTTGGGGCTTAAAGGGTAACCTGAGATCAGGCCCAATTTTAGCGGTTCTCATACATTCTCTCTAACGGCTACCGCTAAAATTGTTTTCGTTTCGCCTTGCCCGCCGGAATGTTATTACAAAGGAAAACGAAAATTGAGCCTGATCTCAGGTATACGGACACTGAGGGGGCCACAGAAAGTGTCCGTGTAAAGGATGTCGGGGTTTCGCTCTAATGCTGACTGGGCCATTTATTAAGCACTTTTAGAAATAGTTCATTTAGATATACTATTTTTTTAACATTTGAATACCTAGAAATGACGACAATTAGCCAAGTGTAGTACGGATGTTTCGACAGGCTGTACCTTGAGACAATAGAAAAAAAGGGACCGGTGTCCTCGCGCAGAGTGACCACTCAAAATTACTAGATTACTGTCACAGTGGAGGCTATGGAATTATATAAACCAGTATGACCACCGTAGTTGAAAATATGGTGGTTTCCATCAGTACTAATTAATTAGCTAAATGTTCAACATAGTTCGACTTCTGAAAAGTGTCCAAATGTCGACAACCTGCGAGAGATAGTCGTTAGCAACATCAAACTGTCCGCGTCTTCCTTGTATACCGACAGCAGCGGGCAAAAGGTTGTTCATCCGTTTTTTGCGTCATGGTAGACCTAAGGTAATATTCTTGATTCTTTTTTTCTTTTTTTTTCGGTTTCACTAAAACTGTTGCAGTGTCACTGAATGAAGCAGGTCCATTTGCACTTAGAAATTCTATCATGGGTGACAGAGGCTCGGGGGGCGGGGGGGGGGGTACTCCCATACATTACCTATACGGCTATGTGCCGCCCAACGGGGTCGTGATTTTGAAGCTCCTGATTTTAATAGAACGGGGTATCCATTTCAGATGTGTTTTCTAGAACGGGGTATAAAAAATTGTGGATCACGGCTTTATCTTCTGTAGTATAACCCCTGGGGGAGGTACTCAACAAACTTTTTTACTGCGAGGCTCCGCCCCGAGGTCCAACCCCTTACCTTTAATGTACCACCAGAGGTGTCCCAAATGAGAGGTTCCACTGTGTGCTAGATTTTTACGTTCCCACTACGACTAGCCTGCGAATACAGACGTCGCTCCTCGCAGCTGGGGACCTTCCACCTGGAGGGATGAAACTTTCTTAGTGACGAGGAGCGAGGAGAGACGTCCGTTTTCGCCGGCTGCATTACGACATAAGCCTAATAATACATAATTTAACCATAAGAAAATAAGCAATCATCGGCCTTAGCCTCCTCTTGAGACATAATTCAACGCCCCTTATAACTATGATAACAATCATACGCCGTTTTTATGCTAGAGTCGTTAAAGCTGAGTGAGACGTTGAAGTAGTCTTAAGACGACTTTAAGGTCCATTAAAAAAACGGAAAATAAGACGGACGCATTTAACATCTGACGACATTTACGTCTCAGACATTAAATGGGTTCAGGATAAAAACGGGAGGCCGGGTAATTGGGGACGCATTTATGCCCATCTCGTCCGGAGACGATTGGTAAAAGTCAGTGTACAGTAAACTCACTTTAAGACGGACACCTTTGGGGCCGGCAATAAGTGTCCGACTAATAGTAATGTCCGTCTAATAGAGAGTCAAGTAAAGGGAGTAAAGAAAGGCAGGGTTCAACTCTACGTGTCCGTTGTATAGAGGGTCAAATAAAGGGAGTAAAGAAAGGCAGGGTTCAACTCTAGGTGTCCGTTGTATAGAGGGTCAAATAAAGGGAGTAAAGAAAGGCAGGGTTCAACTCTACGTGTCCGTTTTATAGAGTCAAATAAAGGGAGTAAAGAAAGGCAGGGTTCAACTCTAGGTGTCCGTTTTATGGAGAGTCAAATATAGGGAGTAAAGAAAGGCAGGGTTCAGGTGTCCGTTTTACAGGAGTCCGTTTTGTAGGGTTCAACTCTAGGTGGCCGTCTTGTAGAGAGTCAAATAAAGGGGGTAAAGAAAGGCAGGGACCAACTCTAGGTGGCCGTTAAGATAGAGTTGACTGTAGTGTACGACTTTAACGTCTCTGGCGTAAAAACGGCCATTGTTAATTTTTTTTCTTGCACCTTTTTCCCTTTGTACCAGTTTCTGGTAGGGATTCATAAAAAGAACATTTCATGAAGGGGAAGAACGGCGTTTTTTATACGTTTTCTAATAATTGTTTTTTCACTGCTTTTTCCTTCACCTTACTCATGCTTTAGAACGTACTGTTCGGAAAGGATAAAATTTATCAAGAGAATTTCCGACTTCACAGCACTCACAAAATTACTCAAAAGCCATTCATTTCGGTTCATAATCGCTGCCCAGCCCTCAGGCTTGTCTCATTCTGGTTCCCAGAGCCCTAGCTTCTTTCGGTCATGACTCACGCATGTGCATTAGAACCCACCGGCAACTTAAGAAACTTAACTGCAAGTAAGAAAATCTAGCGATTCCGCCATTCTGGTTCCTTTCAAAAATGAGACGATTTTTAACAGGTAATTACAGTGCGCGTATTCTGCAAATAAATCCACCCTAAATCTAGACAAGTTTTATAAAGAAACGGTGACAAGTATCCACTGGTTCTCCGTCACATTTAATTTCAGAAGTTAAAAAAATACAAAAAAAATTCCTCCAAATTCATGTTGTAACGTTAATTCTACTGCTGGAGAATGTCTGATACTTTCTCTTAATACAATGCTTTAGAAAACCATAAATTATGTAGTAATTTAACTTACCAAGGTAAACAGGTTTTAAAGCCCCTATCCGTGATCATTTTGAAGAGAGTTGATCAATTAAGACACTAGAACATGTACTTTCTTCTGATTTCCATTAAAAAAAAGTAACATGCTGTGGTTCAATTATATCCCCGGTCATTTTAATGGTTTCCTTTGTTGGACTGTACACTTAAAATTATTAAGACAAAGGAAAATGAGATACGAGGTTAACATAACATTCCAATATAATATATATGAGTACGGTAACAAAAAGCACTTAAGCACTCTTGTCTCTCAACATTAAATTCGGTCTGATATTTAATACAATAAATGTGTTTGTCTCACCTGGAAAACAAGACTAAAATGTGTCGAAAATTGCAAAAGTATAAGTTACGTTCACGAGTCTTACTAGTCCACCGAATTGTAGAAATAATTAGTTTACCAAAAAGCCAACAGGTTTTGCCACGAACAAACTTGTCAAGGTTTATTTTCAGGATTTCTATATTCCTAACCTTGATTAGAAGGAAAGAGCACCAAACCAAGCTCACTTTCATTGTACACGTACACAAAACATTTTCTTGAACAAAGTCAACTTCACCCCTTTCGTTACGGGTGATTTGTACACATGGATCTACGCGTGCCAACCAACATACATTTTAGTCTGTATTTCCAGTAGACGCCATTTCAATTGAAAAACCTTTCGATGAAGCAACAGTCTCAGACAATGCACATTAAAATTAACATGTGCATCGCTTCTAACAAATTTCAAGTCATCAAAATGCTGCAGTTGCACTATCACGTTATTTTTACTGTTTTCTAACTAACTACACGTTGGCCTTTAATTTGATTCAACTAACAGTACTCACACAATTAAAAAGAGCATCATTTTCACTCCAATGTTAGCTAGCATATAAGTTCATCAACAAATGGAAACAAACAGTGAAAAGAACAAGTACAACGTGTTCAATATGACTCTGTTGTGGTGCAAGACAAAAGAGTATCAGCCATACTGAGGCAGTGGCACAGCACCCCCATTAGTTAAACTTTTCAAAAGCAGGAAATTTGTTGAAAAATATTTGTTTAACTAATCTATTTCTTGATAACCAGTCCCATTCCACAGCTGGACGATTTTTAGGTATGACATACTTCAAAAATAAAACAGCGGTGTTAACTGCTTTTTTAGATGTTGTGGGTTCGGCTAATTTTATAAATGAGATAACAAAAGAGAGGTGTGAAGTCACGCTACCATGGTAGCAAAATTTTTTGGCTCACAACAATACGGAGCTTCAGCAACGACGACGGCAACGGCAACGGCAACGGCAAAAAGCAATGAGTTTAGATAGCAAAACAACACGTTTACACGTGCATCACGTTTTTTTGTACATTTCTTAGCCGTTGTAGCACGACTACGACGTGAAACTTCCTAATTTCACGCGCCCGCTTTGTAAAGTAGATGAACACAACACAATTTATTTTTTCTTTTTCTAAACTTAAATACAGTCCTTTCGGATTCAACCCCAGCAAATTTAGTCAACATTTGACAAGTTAATAGGAACTGAATAAGATCGATGAAGTCTGAAACAATGCGAATTCACTTTTTAAGTGACGTTTTCGGTTTCCTGTCATCCAGAAATTTTGCTACCATGGCAAGGTGACGTAAAGACTTCTCCTCTCAATTTTGGTAAAATAATACACAACTCATCTGAAAGGCTTTTCCATCACTTACGTATGTTTTTGCTTCAGATACCATTTCGCTTTCCTGAAATGTTTATATCAGATATAATCACCAACATGTGGTTACTTCGCTCAAGTTTTTTTTTTTCAAAACAATTTTCGTGTTTTGTTAGGAAATCTGTGCCGTTTCTTTTTTGTTTATGTTAATTACATATATTCATTTTTTTACAAAACCAATTTTTAAAACTCTATGAATCAATGTAGGCATCTGGTTCATTGGCCTAACCCCAGTACACAGGCATTCTTCCCAAGTAACATTTCTTTAAAGTGTACCTAGCAGTCTGACCTGGTATTGCTGTCCTTCTGGGCTAGCCCAATGTTATATAATACATAGAATTAAAATGTTTGTCCCCAATTTACCTGATACTTCACTTTTAATTGAAAACAGGTTCCTCTCTAACACCACTCCCTAAAAGTATTATGTTCCCTATGCTTAACTGACATCAACTGACACCTTTGTATGTTGTATATCCACTACTGCCAAAGCTTTGAAATTGTCCCATTTGTCTGGGCTGCATCACGTTACTAATTCCTCCAGCCATAGAAACCGGCCTTACCATTCCTTTGTTTGCTGCCATGTGCATCATTGGCATGTTAGAGGACATAGTCATCTGACTCATATTTGTAGTCAGCATGTTGACTTGAGGTGGCATACCCACTGAGGGGACACCCATGTTCATTGGTGGAACCCCTACCATGTTGGGCATTTGGTGCACAGCTGGCATACCATACAAGCCCACTGTAGCTGCTGTTGTGCTCATTTGCTGTTGGTTTGAGTACAGTTCATTCATGCTAGGTTGAATTGGCTTGTCTCTATGGCTCATTGGACTCAAATTGTCAAGGCTGATATCAACTGGACTGTTTGACCATGTTGTTGACTTGATTGATTTCTACAAAGAAACAGAAGGGAATAAATATGGTTCCCTAGAGATAAGATAATTATTTATATTAGTTTAATAAGCTTTCCCTTAAAATTAGGAAACACTTATTTTGGTATGTTTTGTCCCTACCAAAAACGAATAAATCATTTAGTAACTTTAAAGATTTACAATAATCATACACATTATGTGGCGTTCTAATAGTGATAAACATCTCACCTGGAAACATCATATCGGCCATGTTTCATTAAAGATAACTAGAGACATGGGAATTATACCTAGACTTAAGAATTTTACTCCATTCTCAACATCTCAACATCTCAACATATTTACAGGTCCCTTACAGTAAACTGTACACTTGTCTCCCTCATCTGCTGAATGGGCTTGTTGCCGGCCCAGAGCCTAGCTGCTTGATCATATTTAGAAAAAAGTTTAGTGCTTCATAAATGGTCAGTTCACGTTGTCAAAGTCTTAACACATGCTATTCCAAAATGTCTCCATTTCCTCCATCACAACATTAACAACTATTCTATACTTTGTACTCTCTTCTATGTGAATAATTAAGTAAGTCTGCACCACCATCTGCACCACCAAGTATCTCTGATGTGTTCACCCCCACAAGTCCTCCTTGCCTGCTAACTTTCATTGCAAATACTTTCAACTAAACCAACATATAAACTCACTTACTAGTAGGGGAGCAGAAATTTGAAAATGTATCCCCTGCAAATCTCTGGGTAAATAAATGTACTTGAGTGATGAAAAAATATGTATTTCGGAAATGAAAATTATTGTATATTAAATGTAACAACTACATTTTGCACACAGAACACAAGCAACAGTATGTAACTTCCAACTACCCCTTAACTGCTTATGATCTAAAAAGTGACCTGTTAGAAAAGTTATTTCAGCAACAAATACCTGATGTAATGGCGTGCTATCTGCAATTAATTCTGATGCTGGCTTTCCACTGGAATTTAATGGCTTTGAAGGAGTCAGAGTCTGTGATTTCAAGCTTATTGGTTGTTGAGCAGTTTGAGGTTGAACTAACAATGGTGAATTATTCAAAAACTGTCCTTGCATTGTTCCTGAGGAAAACTGATGGGTAAGTGCAGTAGGCTGCAAAGACTGAAAATCCACCCCTGATGACAGCAGATTACTTTGTGGCTGAACAGTTGAATTCATTGCCAATGGAGCTGAGAAGGAGGATAGGACCTGCTGCGGTGGCTGATTTGCTGAGTGACTGACTACTGCCTACAATGAAGACATGAATATGATAATAAATAAATATAATGTTATGTATAGTAAAACATTGTCTCTTAAACTAGAAATGCTCTACTGAATAGAATTAGTTGCAATAAATTTGACACTTTGTTAAGTAATATTTATCAGCAAGATAACTTTCATAATCTTTCGATTTCCTCACTCAGCAAAACATTTTTGGTGTTGCCTTCCTTGATCCATATCTAAGCATAACTGTATGTTGTCAGTTGGTAACACGGTCAGGTTTTGGTTTCTCTAACAATACTGTACCAAAGGACAAATATAATATATGAGAAAAAGAGAAAGGTTAGGTATTGTTTTTTCAATCATTAATTTACAAGTCACTTGGACAAACAGGTCAGTTCATTCAGGTCTTCCAGGCCCCATTAGCACTCTTAATGTTTGAAAAATTTGATAAGAAACCTTGCTCACAAACTGGAAACAACATTCACAAGAAAAGCTATTGATTAACATATCAGGGAGCATTACCTGTTGAGGTTGTATCAAAGCATTGCTTTGAAAGGCAGTGAAAACGTTTTCTTCAGTTGTGTTGTTTTGGGGTGGGCTTGCAGAGCGGAAAGCTGCAAAATCTCCAAAGTCATCATTGTCTACTACAGGTCCTTTCTCTATATTCAAGACGAAAAGAGGATACTAAGGAGAAAATTTACTGCAAGACAAACATTTTCGTTAAAACCTAAACCCTATGCTTAGCATTTAAGTAAGGCACAACACAGCACTATCCAATGGAAAAATCCAAACCTTGATGCATTTTCATTAAAGTTACAAGTGTAAGTTATTTTTGTTATCTTTCAATCCTACAAATTGCTATTAAATTGTATTGTACATTGTTGCACTTCTTTTTAATGTCAAGAAAATGTGAGTGGAGAGAAAACTTTTTTAATTTTCACTTTTCAGTGGTCCAGATAAGAGATGGGTCTCGGGTCAATGAACCGACAAAGAAGGCTTCCTGGCCCAACAAATGAAATGTACACATAAAGTTACAGAAAAAAAAGACAGCACATGGTCTGGATGACCCCTCAGATGGTCTCCATGACCCCCCGCTTGAAAGAATTACCGACTGCAATGCTGCTTTTAAACTATTTAATTTCTGCCACAATGTTAGTAATAGCCTGCGTTGCAGCTGGCCCATGCATTGTCTAAACCATTTATATAGTCTGTCAGCAAATTACTGCACAAAAGCTTGTTCTGATATCCAGCAGAGTCGCAAGGATATATGTGAGCATTTCTGATGGGCGGTTTTCTTACCAGTCTCATGATTAGCCCAATTGTTATGTGTGCCTGACGCTTGGGTTCAGTGACATGTCAAAATTCATAGAGGGGATTTGGCAAGAGGTGTTTATAGTAAACAATGGCAGGGCAGTTCAAACAAGAAAGCCTTCTTCAAGAGAGAACAATTCCTTCAAGGCCAGAATTTACCGACTGGTTTTCCAGCTTTTTCCAATCGCTGAAATCTAGTCTCAAAACAAATCAGGAAATTATGATATTCATGGACAAAAAAAAACTACACACATGTATTCAGCCACAATAAAAAACTTAAGGCTTTAACAGAAGTAAAAGAAAACAATGTAGCAGTAAACTGCACTTATGATCAAATCCTGTCAGATCTACAAAAACATAAACCACAGGACCCAATTACTCAAAATGCATATAACAGACCAGATCCATAACCTCTAAATGTGAGACTCAAAGTGACAAAAATAAGATTTGCTTAGTCAAAGTTTAGAATACTTCATGCACTGCATAACCTACGCTATAAGAGAGGAAAGCAAGAAAACCTCTGTTGCTAAGGTCACGTTTCACACTATCACGAGCTCATTCTCTCTTTTCACGAGCTGTGAGTCATGTTTGGCCTGTCCACACTTTATTTCCAATCCGACTAATCACAAACTGCGTAAGAAATTAGCCAATCAAAAATGCCGACGTAAGTCCTTGCAACTCTAATACAACTCAATATGGTGCATTAATTTGCAGATGCTCTATACAGAAGATTTATAGGATCTGCAACGCAGGCTAAAGTGAAATTATTCCCTAATTTCACAAGTATACCATTTGATTACCTTTTAAAGTACCCACCAGCTAAAATTTTATATTTCCTTATCTGAAATTATACGTTATTAAAATAACTTCTGCGAAAAAATTTTGCGGTTTGAACAAAACGCGATTTTTTTACCAATTTTTGAAGTCTACATTTTTGCGTACACCCGCGCCGCTAATCATGCAAACTAGCAAGCTCACATATGACATCATGTGACATAAATTAAGGAAGTCGCATTACCTTGTCTTCACCAGCTGTACGCAAAAAAGATAAATTACAAGTAAGGATTGAATCATAATATCTTCACAAGAAGAAAGATTTTCTGAAACAGAAAAACCTACCAGAACTCTTAATGTTTTCCCGTAATTCCTGTCAATAAGGTCACGTGTTCCTTAAAGTACGTCATATTTAGTCATAGTGCGAGAGAACACTAAGACGAATGGTGTGCCAAAATGGTGGCAAATTTGAACGTTTTTAAAAAGTTCTAAAAAATCGTCTTTGGTTCAAATCACTTGGGGGGTATGCTTGACTTGGTTTGACTGTAACACCTTGAAATCTTCATACACAACATTGGAACTGAGACGTACGGAACTTTACCATAGCAATTTTGTAATTTCACACGTGAAATTATTAATTAATGCTGAAATTTTGTGCCAAGATTAAGGAGTTATTTGTCACCCATGATATCAAAGTAGTTATATCACAGCTGCTTTTGAGTTCAACTGATTAAAGCACTCTCACACTGCTGAGTGTCAATGTAACCAGAACAAAAGTGCCAACTAAGCACACTATTTTATGCCCCCGTGAGGGCTGGAGAAGTAGGGGCTGCCATGTGAAAGTCTTGCTGTTTGGTGGGTAGAGGTAGTACCTTCAATTCTCGGTTATGTTATGACCCTGAGTATTGGCCCAGCACTGGGGATTGAACCTGACTTCCTGCACTTATACAGTCAAGTGCTCTACTATCTGAGAAAGTAAGCCCTAAATTGGGAGTTTGTTTGGTGTACAGAGGTTGAAGACAATGTTTGAAGCCTAAACAGTTCGAAATTGACAAGATTAAGTTGTGTGCAGGTTAGTGGCTTAAAGAAACACAGCTTCATTCACGTGTACTGAACGTTTTCTCACGTGTTTTCGATTTGTTGCATAACAATAAGCTTCTGGGTGGTGAACAAGGTCGTTGTGAAGTCTTCCTTTGAGTTAAAGCGAGTGAGATGGCGGAGAAAGTTTGCGAGGTTGATGCATTTCTTTGAGATCGATGTTGCTGAATGTAACCTGAAACCTTCCATGAAACGTTTCAAAATGTTTGGTATTCAGAAGATTGCTTCTAGCGCACACAATTTCTTATATTCTTCCATGAAAGTTGCTCTTTACAATCGTTGTGAGTTGAGAATGACACATGAAAGAAAATCAGCGAGGTCAGTTTCATGCTTCGTGCGTGGAGACTGCTTGCATTTTGCCTTCCTTGAGAAAATCAGGTGTAAACATGGCGCGTTTCAAAGTTTTTGGTAATCAGAAATTTGCTTCGTTCTCTGGATGGTAAAGAGGAATAAGGCTAAAATTTTCAGGATTGACTGTTGAAAAAATGAGCATTCCAGTTATTGAGGCCATTTTATCTTTGAAGCAATCTATATTTTGAAATGTTGGACGCATTGCTGATTTCATGGATTGAAATATACAGCATGAAGCTGGTACACGGGTTCAAGAGTTCATTTTTCTCAAAAACCGCTTTTTCCGACAAAGTTTGACCTATAGAGCTGAAATCTATGAATAATTTTGATATTATAAGGATACTAGTTCCGCTCAAATCTATTATGGTTTAAACATGAAATGTTACAAAAATGATAATTTGCTGCATGTGAATGTTACGCAAGACGGCCCGAATTATGCACATTTTTGTAAAAAATAAATTTCTGAAAAATGTAGAATTCAATAAATATCCATGATTTTTGGCAGATCTGTAGTTCAACATGTTGTTATTGTTTGTGCCAAGGGACAGCTTTGTAGCTGCTAAGGTTGAGGAGATATTGTACTTTATATGTGCCAAATTTTGTTTGTACACGCGAACCGTGCTACTGATCGGCACAAACCAGCCATGCATGTAAGTACGAAAGAAGAACACTTAATTTACCAGGCACAGGTTGCTCAAAAGACGGTTAACCTTAAACCCAAATTTAACATTTTCTTGACAAGCAATATGTTAGTCAATCTATGAGAACATAACCCAATAAGATAAAAGGCTAAGATTTGAACATACAATATCTATCATTGTAAGTTTTAACCCTGGGTTTATGTTTATCTGACTTCTAGGAACTGGGCCCTGGTCTGTACTACTAGCAAGCCATCTGCTGTTATAATAACTACATATAATATAATTACACAAATGGAATACATGGTATTTTAAATGATTCATGAATGTAAAGTAGACTAGTTGATGACAATGACTCAACTTTTGGCATTCACTGAAATAAAACATTGTCCCTATAGATGACCTTAAGGCACATTAACCTGAGATCAGGCATTATTTATTTTTTTTCTTTTTGCTTCTTTGCTCGAGAGGGAAAAAAATAACGCCTGATACATTCATTTAACAAGCCGTCAACCGCCCCCTAATTTACATAATCTAACGTCTGCATGACCTGTCATGTTATTAGCCAGTAAGCGTCTACCATACAGGAATCAAATTTTGGCGCGAATAATGTCTCTTTTGAAATCAATTTTAGGGAAAAGAACATTTTTAAGTACGTCCATGTTCAGATGGCGCTTCGATTCCTAAAAAAAATATAAATGTGTTGGTTTTGTGATGAAATACTGCTTGCTGGAGCTGTCGTACCTTTATTCAACAGCTACAAATAATAAAGAATTTCCTGGTTAAAGCTTGTTGACTTTGTTCTCTGCCGAAAGCAGTGAAAAAAAAAATAGGCTGCAGCACCATATTTCACGAACTGAAAGGTGTTGTGAAAGCGAAGATCGCTCAGAATAATTCACAGATTTCTGAAGGAAGAATTACAGTCAAACCAGGTCAAGATTCCATTCATGAATTGATTATTTGAAAAGTGAACCCGTTTGTCACTTCTGCAACTTGTAACCGGTATCAAATTGCATTCAAATGATCGGTGAAGTTTTGACTGCAACTTTTTAGTATACGACGAGATGGAAAATATTTCAATGGATGAAACTTCTATTTAAACATTTTTCAAATTCAAGAAAACTGAGCCGGCAGAAATTTCATAACAAACTCGCGTGTGTATTCACTGCTCATTACGCAAGAAAAAATGCAGAGTGAAATCAACAACAACTAACGGATGGCGGCATTTTGGCCAATCGGAACAGCGCAAATCATCAGTATTGTTTCCTATCCAATCACAAAAAAGTCCAGACTCTGGCTTTTTCACATGTGATCCGACAAAGAAATGTATCATGCCCTCTTCCCGTGAGAGACATAAAGGGATAATAGGGAGAGGGCATGATCTCAGGCTAAAGGCACATATATTTACAACTTTCGCCTTACCATTGATGCTTCCTCCACCAGGAGGAGCAGAAGCAAAATCTGCAAAGAAGTCTTTTTGTGCTGGGACAGTTGCAGAAGTCTGTAAAGGCTGCATACCAGGAGGTGTTAAATCAAATAAGTCCACCAAGTCTGCATTACCAACTTGCAATGTAGGTGCTGAACTTGTTTTAACATTTGATGGTGAATCAATAGAAGAAGTTATTTCTGATTTCCCAAAATTTGCAGCGGCACCAAGATCAATAGTTTTTGCACCAAATTTAGCCGATGATTTTGGAGTTGGATTTCTGGATGAATCTGCACTGTTGACAATATCTCTGTCTTTTTCTTCAGAAGCTTCTTCTGCTTCCTCTTCATCACTAAGGATAACCATTACAATTAAATAAACTAATTCTATCAATATTAAGCAAAGCATGACAAAACAAGGGTAAAATTTTTCAGGATTGTTTATCATAGTCTCAGACTAAAAGTACCTATCAAGTATTAATATTAACAAAAGTATAAATGATCAAGCTACAGAGGA